AGATCTTCTAACAAAGAGTTCCTTATAAGCACATCTTTGTATACCACCAGACTATGACAACTAAAACTTTCATAAGAAGACTTTTTTATAAAAGTATCGATACTGGGTTTATGATAAAACAGTGAAATAAAAATGGGAACAACGATCATGGCCCCAAAAGCAAAATACACTAGCAAAAATTATTAGCAATATCCTTCTGTATTGATGCTTTGGAGACTTGTACTGTCATATACTCAGAAGGGAAAAAAACAGAATGCAGATGACTGATTACTGGAGCTTTAGAAATGGAACAAAATCCAATAGTATAAAAATGCAAGGTCATGCACTTGCATACTAACAAGAACTGCAGCTCGAAGACGGGAGCTTGTTAGCTGGAAAACAGAGGTATATAAGACAAGAGAAATCCAGAAAACTTAGCGATCCCACACTAGTGGAATTAAATCCTCACATGAAACAGTTGTGGAAAACAGTATGTTGAAACTTACTCCCTGCAGAAATACAGGAATAGTAGTGCCACTAAGGCACTGCTAAGACTTAACGTGGAATACTGTGGACAATTCTGAGCAAATAAAATAAAAAACAATGTAAAATTTAAGAACATATCAACTGGGAACAGTACCCCATTCAGCACTAACTGTATGAGGGAAACGAAGAGCCTTTCGGGAAAGAGGGGATGAAAAGCAGCTTTTCTAGTTGAGCAAAATGAAGAAAAAAAGAGAAGAAATAGGCTATTGCCTCTGTCTATAAATGCATTAAGGATATACATAGCAAGAATCATTTAGACCCAAGAATAATGATGACAAAAACCCATGGCTATAAATTGGTCACAAACAAGACTCCTAACTACTAGAACAGCAAGTTCTGGAACAGCTTCTCAGTAGGATATGGTTACAGGAGGCCTGACTGCATTTTAAATAAAGAATGATTAAATGTAAAGGGCTTGCACAATGCCAATGCTTGCAACAGCACAGGAAAAGAACTGATGATCAAGGTGATCTTTCCCAGTCGTGTGCTCCCACTGCTGAAAAACTTCACCTAACCACAATTCCAGCTCCTTCTCAAAGTCCACAAGATGACAAAGAATTTGTAAGAGAGACAAAAGACAAGAGATAGCTCAGTCTATTTTCTTTATGTTTACAACACGAAATACATGTTTACGACTTGAAAATTGAATTGCGTGCATGCAAAGGTTAAATCAGTGAGACTATTCCCCCTCATTTTGCAAATTTGAAACCTTTTCATTCCAGCATTTTGTATACTGTGCTTTAAACTTCTTAAAACCAAAGTACTAGTTTCTGATAAATAAGACTTCCTAAAACTCTGCTAGCAATAATTATTTGCCACAGTATGCATTATGGCATCTCTGTTGGGAAGACTGTGTGGAAATGAAAATAAAAGGCAACCAGAGGCGAACAGACATTCATGGAGGATTCTTTATAGTATTTAAAGACATTATTAATTCAGACATCAGATAATAATTTTATTTTAGTATTAACATATTTAAATCATTAACAAAGATCTAGTTAAAAGAACTTTATCAAATGGTGATCACCTCATCTCAATACTCAAAATCGATAAGGACTGACACTAATTCCCTATTTAGTTTACCCCTCCACAAAAACCCAACTCAGCAGTCTATATACTAAACTGATTCAATTTAAGCTAAGTATTATCACCAATTAACGTTATCTTTTCTTTAAAAAAAATTAAAAAATCAAGTCTAGCTTCTAATTCCTATTTCTGAAGAGATACAGTTGCATCTCAACAAAATCAATGCCTTGAGAACTTGAACTCTGTCAGCTGGTTGCCCAGAAGTGCCATCTCCCTTCTCCCTTGAAGGGGACAGTTATTTATAAAACATCTCTTGATATAACTAACCTGTGGTATCTGAATGTTGTCTGCTGGTCTGCTCGTAGCATCTTTATTGTACTGAGGATCAAATTCAGATGCCCCTGCTAAAACCATGATCAGCCCTGCAAAGATAATTGAAGGCAGGCAGAGAAAACGTCAGCAACATCCTATGCCACTGAATGATTTCTACAGAACCCTCACCCTTAAAACTTATTCCCACTCTTCCCCCAACAACCATGAATATCCATGTTCTCCATTTAGGGGATCAGTTACTACTGCCACAGGGCAAAGGAGGCAAGAACCAATGCCTGGCACAAGACAAAAGAGATTGCTCAAGGCTCCATTTTGCATGGCATCAAGCCTGGCATTTGATTCTAAATGTCTTCACAAAAACATAGTTAGACTTCATCAGGACTGGCAGATGTCACCGCACAGCAGTTTGGTTATTTTTGCATGCCCACAGAACCATTTCCCTCAGCAATTCACGTGCCTGCGGCTGCACCACAACATGTGTACTGGGGGGGGAAGCGGGAAAGATAAAATTGCAATTCAATTTTCTGTTTCAATTTTCTGTTCAGTCGGCATTGGAAATTTACCAAAAAATTTTCTTTTAATTATTAGAAAAGCAGTTCAATAAATACCCCAGCAAACAAATCCCATGAAGATGACGGGCTGCTCTTTTCCTAATGTGATTAGAAAAATCCATACTACCTCAAAACATTCTGTTCTGTAATTAAGACCTACATAACGGGGTATTTCAGCCTGTTATGAGCTTTCTGCTCATGAATATATCAGACTCCTCAGCCAGAGACAATAACAGAAAGCTCACATCATCATTTGCTCCAGGTTAAAATAACATTTTCAGCAACAGTTATTCAAGCTTCATTCCTAAATTTTAGGCAAGTTCTCTTCTGAGCAAGACAAAGTTATTTTTGCCTACTTGCAGTGCTCAGTGAATTCCACCTACTAACAATTAGCCAAGTTCCCTGAGCATCAATTTTCATTTCCATTCCTGATTACATATTTACTTCCTGAGCACAGCGTATGGAAGTTTCAGACAACTATAAATACTTTCCTATTATTTAAGATCCACAACACTGTATCGTCAAGAAAGGAAGTTTTTTAAACTCCTTTATCCTGAAGCCTAAAAAAATATGTAACACAAGGCAAGTCATGCAGCTTTGTCTCACCATTTCCCTAGCCCAGTTTGATTACATCTGCTCACGCTTGAGCTTTGAGTTTTCACCCTGGTACCTCACAACACTGTGGAATGCATAATCAAGCAGAAGCCGTACCTAATCACTGTGTGATTCGTCTAAGCCATCTCAGTTGCACCTCATTTTTCATTCAGACTGTACAACAGCCCTCAGTGGAAATAACTGACCTGCCTCTGACCCCAGGACACCCTGAAAGTGTTAAGTCCTTAAATAAGGCCACTTAAACTTAGGGTTAACTTTTTAAGCCATCAGTAGGAGAGACAAGGCAAGCCTCAAAGCTATGGTTCTGAGCAAGGTTCGACATGAAATAATCTACTGTTGACAACAGGTCTGGAGAAAGAAGAGAACGGGTTTGCAGTGATCTCCCATAACTGCTGAAGAGGTCTCACCTACTCTCCCATTCCTCCTTTCACGTATAGCAGTTTGGAGGCGGGAAAAAAAAAAGATTAACGGTACAACAAGGTGGAGAGCTTAAATTGGTCTAAATTAATCCCACACACAAATCCCTTTGTGCTATGACTAGGAAGTGAACCTATCTCTGTACTCTGATGTCCTAGACCTCTTGGATTATCTGTGAAGCATTTCTGTTCAGTAGGAAAAGGAATGTATCAAAAGTGGATGCTCCCAGCAATCTTCCAGCAAATCTAAAGCTGAACAACAGCGCAATTCAAAGGAGTACAATATATTTATGACCCCTTTTTGAGGTGGTTTGGATTTTTTTAATTGTTTTATTCTGCTTTTCAATTGCTGTGAGCATGCAATGTAGTAAAATCCAATCTAGAACTGATTAGTACCATGCTAATTCTTCTGGCCCACCCCGGGCTCCAAAGTCCAACATAATGCATCTACAGATTTCCCCAGAAAATGTTTTGGGGTTTTTTTAATTTAAAAGTGAGCAGACAAGAAAAATAAGTATATGAAAAACTATAAAAGAGTAACAAAGTAACATGAAACTAATAGGGAGCAAAATTTTTAACAGAAATTTAGCTGTAACATAACAAGTAAGACTAGAGCACCAGTAATGCTGTTTCATTCTTTGGCAATATATATATAAAAAAAAAAATATTATGACAGCCCCTAGAAAATTCCCAAAGCCCATTTTGTTACACCAACAGAAGAACACACACAGACACAGGCTGCACTCCTAATGGCCACGTAACAACTCAGGACTACAGGCAGGTCAGCATCTGTTTTTCCCAACATACAATATCCTTTTTTTATAGACAGATGTAGATATAGATCTAATTCCCTCTCCCAAACAGCTACGTCTTCTTACAGAGTACTCTTCACCTGCAACAAAACGAAGTTTGTAAAAAAATTCTCAAAGAACCAGAAAAATTATTTTAGTCTAACAAAGGCTTATGAAGCAGAAGTATTTTAACATCAGCAGATCAACATTTCAGATGAACACATCAACCTTTCAAGGTGCCTTTTACTTACGTTTCATGTCCATGTTCCGTGTTTTATAGACAAAATATGTATATATTTGAGTTGTCCGAATAAGAATCTGATCGCCACTATATCGTATTGATCGGTACCACCAGGAACCCTGAGATATTTAACAAGAACAAAATTACGTCAGCTATGATGAAGCACGGAAACAGCTATGCTGGATCACTTCATATCTGTTCACAACCTGGTAACTCAGCCCAATGATTTTACTTATGTCAAGGTCAACTGAATTTCAGAAAGGAGAAGGAAACAAAAAAAATCTTTGCCAACACGAATTTTAAAAGCACACCAATATATTCATCTAGGAGAATCTAATCGTAAAAATGTTTAGATTATCTCTAGCCTAGAGAATTCCCCCCCAACACACATACACATTGCTTTGTTTTATTTTTGGTGGTGTTTTATTGAACCCAATAAACAGTAAATACACTCTATTTACCACTTTCTATATACTTGTTAACACCTGACTGCAACACAGCATTCAAGTCAAACTCAGCTTAGGCAGACGAAGGTCAAACCAGGAACAAAATAAGAGATTTCTTTCATTGCAAAAATTAATTTAAGTCACCTAATCAGAAAATGCTTTTGGATGTGCTCCAGTGCCCTTGCTGCAAATTTTCAGAATTAAGACATACACCTTCAGGTTGACAGAAAAACTTTTCCAAATCTTCAGAAACACTCCAATAATTCCCTCGTCAGCATTACACTAGTGACTTCAAATTATAGGACTCACTGTACAGCGATGACACTCTATAATATGTTTTAAGAAAAGTGGTGTGCTGGGTTATAAACTGCAGTCAGTTCATTAAACTCCTCCTCATAAGCAAAGCTCATCAGAATGAGAAAAAATATTCAAGATATATCTCAATCTATTGGGAAGTTTATCCCAAGGGAAAAGTAACAAGCAGTAAAGTAGTAACTCATGCTTACTACTATGCATTTAATAAGTAATAGTGTAATACCACAGCAAGAACTCTGCAATTTACTTAACTATTTGGAAAATGCTCTAGGGCTGGCTCCCCACAAACACTTTTTTTCTTTTTTTTAATAAATAGGTTTGATCCTTCCACAAACAGATGAACCCTAACACAAAATAGTACACAACTTAAAGTTTTTCTGCAGAAAAAAATGAGATTATAATCCCATAACTATCAAGTTTTCTCTAATAAAAATATAACTACAGCTAGTCCAAATATACATGAAAGAGGTTGCCCTAACTGCTTTTGCAGATATAGCTTGTCTCTCGCGCCTCATGTACAGAACACTATTTAGGTCAGTGGAGGTCTAGGAAGAACCATGTATCAGTATTTTCCTTTTTTGTTGATCTAGATTCAAAGGGTGGAACTAGCCTTACTTTATTTTAGATGCCTATCTCACATACAGGATGACTACACTGTAGTTAGCTTCGGCTTCTTTATTGATTCGTAAAAGAGAAACAGGGCCATTAAAGGCATGAATCATCTTGAGTGTCTACTTTAGAATGAAATGATAAAATAACTTGCTCCATGAAAACGACTATTCCTCTTCACTGATTGTAAAAGAAATTCACAGTGACAAGTCTGAATGCAGAAGTCTACATCTGGTATAGGGGCAAGAAAAGGCAGATTACTTTTTCCTCTGCTCAGGACATTTCTTCATAACAACAGAAAGGATGTTTACTTTCACTGGTGCTATGATAAACCTGGTATGAATCACTAAAAGTACACGTACACAAAAAAGCATCAATAGACACCAACTGAAACCTAAAAGGAAAGACAGGAAAAATACGTAGACATTGTACCCCGGATTTTAGACTTACTCAACAATTTGTTGAAATTGCCACATCTAATTTTCTACATTAAATCTTCAATAATTCAGAAAGACTCTCACAGAGGAGGGATAAGTGCCTGGCTGAGCCTCTGCACACAGAAATGCAAGCAGTTGCCAAGACCCAAGGACACTTTCTCAAATGAAAATCTTGTTCCCAAGAGCATGAAAGTTTCTGGGTGTCAATTTTCTGAGTCTTTCTTCATGCCATCCCCAAACGCACAATCACTGGATAAACGACATTGTTCAAAAGCAATACTGTAGGGCAAGCCCAAGCCCTGAAATACCACTCACCTAGCAACTGATTTCTCACACAAAGAAATCTCAAGGGCAGACATCTCATGGTGTACAGAAGATCAATAAAAATTGAAGTTATGAAAACAAAGGCAGCCAGAAAAAACCAAATCAACAACATTGTTCCACATGCAGTAATCATTCTAGTACCACTAGCTACAGACATCTCAGTCTTGGCTTTACAGTAACACTACTGAATATATTCTCAAGTTCATCACATCATATTAATTTTCATGTGATGAATGACAGAAGGTAAAACACAAATTATGTAACTCAGTCTAACTCTTGTGATATCTAATATTTTCCCTACGGCCCCCTTTCTTATCGTGGCACTGCATTTTTTTTGGAAACTCTACAGCAGCTACGCTTTTTCCGTAATAAAAAAACCACCCACCAAAAAAAACCCCACAAACAAAATTCGCTCACTCTCTCCATGAAAGGCAAGAACAAGGAACTTTACTTATGTTTAAGACTGCTTTGTTTACAGCTTGGTTACAGAGGGTAGAATATTCATCAGATAATACTTACCACAACAACCGGAAGAATAACCATAAATGCTAATCCGTATACGAGCAAAACCTAGAGAAAAATTACGAAACATAGCGCATTAGACACTTGAGTTACTTAATACCACTCTAGTTTAATCTTTATTCTAAAATACAGTCAAGTAGTATTACCACAAGCCTACTACAAATTAATGCAAGCTTATTGCATAATATCTGTCATTATTTCTGAAGAAGAACTTACAAGTAATATAATCAGTTGGGCAGTGTTTAAATAAGGAGTATCAGTTCAGTGTAAGTAATCTTTTAAATCATCCACGCATTGTCTCAGGTGGGTTTCTTTAACAATTAAAGAGCTGGCAGCTAAACGGTGATGCAATGGACAGAGGTGATTACCGCATTAAAAGAAATCAAGCAGGTAAGCCAAATACCTTAAAGCACCACATGCAACAGAAGGAACACTTAGACACTGCATGATTACAGCATCACTAGCAAGCCAAATGGAACTACAGAAATCCAGCTGTGTTGGTTTTGCGTGGCAAGGTT